AGTCCTAGTGGCCCTCAGAATGGCATTTCGCCTATAAACTTGTAACCCATGATTATCGGAGGCCATAAATTGACCGACACTGGAGGAATGAAAGGTCTGATGCCCTAGATAGCGCACGACCCTGGATTTCATCCTCGAACCGTGAGCGTGGCAAGCAGCGCCACTTGGCGCGGCGCAATTTCCGCCGTATGCACGAAATTGACCACAGGCCAATGTTGACCTACATGTAGTTTAGAGACTGAATTATTTTTAAAATGGACCGAAACCAAACCAGTACCTATGCCCTCCCGCTTTTCGTGGTTATCAGTTATGCTAATGAGACCATCCGTGTCTTTCCTCAGCTTTTTGCTAATAAATTTTTCACGCGCAGCTTATAACTCTGAAAACAATCAAGTCTAAGGAATTTCAGTGTTTACGATCTGCTCTTTAGGGGACAGTATTTATGTGCATAGCATCGCAGCCACACCAACTCCTCTGCTCAAGGGCCTCTGCGAACATGTGAAAGCGAACAACTTGAGTGGCATCAAGCTGCACCACCTGATAATCGCTGGAGAAGCGCCCTGGACTGGGCCCGATTTGAGAGGTGAGGATGGCACTGGTTATCCGCGAATGTAGAGAAATATGCATTTTTTGAGATCGAATCCGCTCGAATTCGCTTTTTACTGGCGACAGTCTTCGGAACGCTGTCAACGACGGTAAGTATGCCTGATCTTTCTGACTACATCCTTTTGATGTGTAGTGTATTATTGACGTGAAGCCCAGCATTGCTTTTTCATTAGATTGTAACGTTTCTTGGTGTGGCTCTAAGACGAGAAATAGGGGAAATTCTGACAGAAATCTGTACACTGTTAATTGAATGGGTGAGGTAGTCATCTATGGAGAAAGAGGTAGGTGCTGCGACCAGCCCTGCTTTCACGACATTATGCACTCCCTCTTCTTGTATGATGAAAACAACTATGAGGAGGGACAAATTCTATCAGAATAACCCCCAAACGGCATCTTGGATATAGCTCTTTTCTCCAAGGATGACTACCTCTCCCTTTCAATTAACATAGTGTATTTCTAGGGCAGATACATATACGGAACCTTCTGACCAGGATAGTACAAAAAATCTGGCGCTATCACTATAGATACGGGGATCCGTCTACGACTGGCTCAAGAGGGGCAGGACTTCGGAGATACCTGCTTACGCACCTAGAGTCTCTCCTCCCCTGCCTAAGACCTATCTCTTCAGACCAGGTTCTCAGAACCCATTCCATATTTCTGTGTTAT